CCCCAAAACCCCAAAACCCCAAAACCCCTATATAAATATATGCTTTCTGGAAGTTAAATGAAGATTAATTTAAATAAACAAATTATACATAATAATAATGATCATTACCCTCTAAATCTTTTCCCTTATTTTCTCCAGCTAATTATTTTGATCAAATGATAAGAATGAAGAATCCCCATTGGTATGATCCCAAGGACCAAATAGAATAATCCTAGAAGTACACCTGTTATAAGCCCTATAATCAAACAAGCAGGAAATCCAACAACGAATAGATAAATAACTATCTTTTTTACCAAAGGACCTTTGTAATCTTCAATTATATCTCGATACAGACAGTAAGGTCCATAACCAATCCAAAAAAGTGCCCCGCCTATAAAGAAAAGGAAAAAGCATATAATCTGAATTGCTATTGCAAGTAATGTGTATACACCCATTAGTTTTTTTATACTTATAGTCTAGTATTTGCCATTCGTACAAATTCCATAAAACAAATACTTTTAGATTTCATCATCATGAATAATATGATCTACTGGAAATCCGCAACCCCAGCAAAAATTATGTTAGCATTTGTAGCACAACATATGGATGCATCCCTCATTTTTCTCTATCACCACTTTGCACTTAGGGCATTTTTAGGCATCTTTATTAAGAGACAAACTATTTATTATCTCTCTCTGATACTGTCTACATGATTTTCCCTAGTGCCATATTGATTAGCAGTCAAAACAAACATTTTTTTCACACTTGCTACATTTAACCTTAGTGTTGATGATTAAACGATTTCTTTCAAGAACATTTTTACAGTCAGGAATTGGACAGAATTTCTTGTTTTTGTTATTAATTAGGTCATAATTTTGTTAGAGTCCAAGGTATTTTGAAAACTGGTTTTTATTTGTAAGATTTTTAATTACTTCTCTTGATAAAACAGCTTGACAATTATAGTCAGGGCATTTCAATTTATGTACTTCTCCTGAAACATTGATCGCATATATTATCATTTCTTCCAAACAACCTTCGCAAAATGTGTGCCCGCAGTTTAAACTTAGCTATTAAAAAGCTGAGAGCTTTCTATAGCAAATTTAGCATAAAATCTAATCTTTTGATATTATGTTATGATTTCTGTTATCTTATATTACCCTTCTTACAGCTTCAAAAAAAGATTATCTCGGTTGCACAATTTCAACTTGATTAATCAAGGAGTCAGCTTAATCATAGCTTCTGTAAGATATTTCTAAATCTTCTATTAAATGCTCAGTACTTTATTCTGTTAAACTTATATTCACATAGCTTTCAAGATCATCTATTTAGATATTTTGATTTATTTTATAGGTCTCTTCAGAATTACTTAAGTCTTTGTCTTCTGATGCTTAAAACTTTTATTCAGCTTGATTCATTTTATTAATTATTAATTAAATTAATCAAAGAATAATAAAGTTCGAAACAAATTTTGAATTTCGAAGATTTACTTTTACTTAGATTATTAAAGAAATTCGAATAATAGTTGTATTATTGGCCTAATTTTAACCTGTAAATTAATTATTTATAAAAACTTAATTTTATTGATTAAATTCTTACCAAGGGGTTTTGGGGTTTTGGGGTTTTGG